TCTAGAGCATTGGAAGGCTCTCTTGAGCATTGGAAGGCTCTCTTGAGCATAGGAAGGTTCTTTGAATTGGTTATCCCTCCAGTATATTGATGTTTCCAGTGGACTAACACGGCTGTATACACTTTCGTATTGTTTACGCCAAGTGCAATCAGATTATTAAAGAACCCTGTGTCCTGTCATAGTGGCCAGGCAGTATGGTGCTAGACTGGGATGATTTGCATGGCAAGGGTTTCATTAGATAAATAAGAAATGTTGGAAGCATTTGGAATGTTGTGTATTTTTTTTTCAGTGGAGGTGGAGTTTTCTGACGTTGTATGTGGAGGGAATGTGACTCTTGATGGATTGATTGATGGCTTCAAGATGAACAACTTTGTTCTGAAGGTGGCCGAGGTAAGTGCAATAATATTAGAAATAAGATTTTGTCGTACCTCTGTCTTGGATACTGTCCATTTATTGGCCCAGAACGATCATATGACAGGGTGACATATCCGCATATCACACTCACCGTGAGACATCTCATTCCACCGACGGTGCATGCACGCGCTCCCATACGCATGTCTGCAAACTGTTGTCTTATTAGCATGTTTGGTTTCATTTTCCACCCCCAGTTCCAACCTATTAAAGGTGACAAGCGGTTCAAAGGATCATTGACGATAACTGAAACTGCGGTCGTTCTGTTGATTAATGGTGTCTCTATTGATGATCTCAACGGTCTTGCTGTACGACACAACGAAACAGAGACTATCAGCGGGAACAAGACATTTGCCAGTAAGTTCTGACCAAAGATCATATAGCGCCGCAATATGGAGAACATCACCGTGAATACGCGTAAAATGTTGTTATCGCATAGGTGCTATTTGAGCAAGCGATACGCCTGCACAATGCACATTAATGCGTAGGCGCAGGTGCCGCACAGGCACGTACACCTGGTGAGCCTGCGCCTAAGCATTACCGTGACCTGCGCAGGCGTATCGCTTGCTCAAATGGTGCCCGTGGTAATTACACCTTTTGGGCAGAGTTATCCATCTTGCGCCTTTGGCACTAAACGATCTTTGCTTGTGACCCACATTGACTACAGTGAGTGGTAGAGGCCATTTAAAATGGTGTAACTTGCATATGGTGTGTCTTCACAGTCGTGAAAAGTGTAAGAAATCAAAACCAGTTGGATACCTCAGTAGCAGAACGTGGGAAAACATTCAAGATCTAATTTATGCTCCTTATCGACAAACATTGATGCAATCAGCCTTACTCTTCTTCAAACTTCCACTGTCCCTTTAGCATGACCTTTGTAACAATTCACCATCATTTAAGAACTGTTCTTTCAGCACGCCACAGCAAGCTTGTTCTATGAGAACTTCCCAATTCTAGCTCATTTTCAATAAAAATTATTGTTTTCATTTTTGGGGAAGGTAGAAATCACTTTCATGCTGAATAGTTGTGGGCAGCATACAGAATAGCTAATTTGGCAAACCTGTAAACCTCGTCTGTCTTTTAGGAGGGATTTCTCTGCAGCAGAACCTGACAGTGACAATGTTAGTCGACACTGTGGACGTCCAAGCACTACAGGCCAATGCCTTAGCAACCAGGAGTGATTTCAAGTTAAACCAAATTGTCCTTGGCAATGGAACCCTAGGAAACATCATTGTTCTCGGGGTAGGATATTCTTTACGGAGCAATTTTTTTTGTTGGATGTAACATTTCTGTTTTCAGTGATATAAAGTGTAAAAATGTTTAAATCTTGGTTTTTTCTGCTTATCCTCGTGTCATGATCCAATTTGCAGCTGATGAATTTCAGAATTTTTATTTCGATTTAAAGAGCAACCCCAACGATGGTGAAAAAAGTTTAATATCCTGACGTGGCATCTAAGTAATAAGTTATATATGTAAAGTGGCACTGTGACTTCTGGGAAATAGTAATAGTGCAATAAAAATAGGGACCAATTCTGTGGGTTTTTCAAAACTGTCCACATTTGTACCGTTGGTGGCACCACGCAGTAATGCCTTTTGGATTATTTACCACCGTGGAAACAGAAAACCTCATGACCTCGCAGGACCTGGTTTCATGGGTATATTTTCATACCAAGCCGTGCACGCCTGAGCTGCATGGCCTCGCCTGACACTTTTATCGGAATAAAATAATAACACAAAAAACATTTAAAACATCTGTCCTTCACTCTGAACGTACCAAGCCGTATTTATCAAATGATCTTGGTCTCCTTCACCGCCTCGTTCCCCAGCAGTGGCCCCATCGTCGGCCCGATCGGGATCCCGTTGCCACTCGCTCCAGTGGCACGATGGGTTCATAGCAATAAGGCTCTGTACCTCAGACTTGGGACAGTATACATGTAACTGTCACTACACATGCATTACAATACAACGTGTAATTGCGTTCACGTGACCGTGCCGGCTCAGTGCGTACATGCACCAGCTAGAGAACCGTTTCCATGGTGCTACGTCAACAAAACTCTGGAAAAGCTGTATTCATGAGATGTAAATGAAGCGATGACGACACACTCCTTTTGCGAAAGCTAGCCATGGCGCTCAGCAGAAACGGGTCTCAAAAGTGAATTTTTTAAACTAAAAATATTGCAGAATCCATGTTTATATGGCATGCATGTAGTTGTCTATAATGGGATCCAAGTAAACATACTACGGCCAGGTTTCTTATTTTTGTCCATCGTTGGGGTTGCGCTTTTATTTCTGAATTAACCTTTTTTTAATGCATATTGCACCACACTTTCTTGGTTTTGAAAGTGGAATCCAAGCACATGTATGTCAAAATGTCCTGTCACTGGACAACTTAGCTCTCTGTTATTTAGGGCCAATTTTCAGTGAAACATATCCAATGAAATTATTTTCATCTCAAGCATTTTTTATTTCATCTCAGCATAAATGCCTCAAAGCCACGGACACAAATTTGCAGTTAAAATTGCCACAGAACGAATTCATATAGGTTGCAAATACATGTTTGCATATGTTTTAAGTTTCCCAAATGCACGTGTTTGGATTTTTAATTGTCTATAGTCAAAATGATGAAATATAAATGTGAGGTAAAAATGACGCCAATAAATGTAGTCATTGGAAGCTCATATGGTGTTACATGTAGCATGATTGAAAGTGATTTTGATGAGTTGGGATGCAGAAATGCGTAGAAGTGTTTCTAAAATCTGTACTTGGGTTTATTCAAACCAGATTATCCTGAGTAACTAGAGGTGGAAGATGGTGAAAGCAGTACCATTTTGTCAATTTGGACCTCTATATTCATGCCTTTATATTTCAGAGTTTTGGCTTAACCACCACATGGATTCCTAATTCTTATCCAAATGCTGTTTCAGAACCTGACATGTAATTGTATGGTGGATGGTGTGAATCCAGAGCAGTTAAAGCAGTCCTTCATGAGCCTTACAATCCCTCAGACTGTGACGGGTTACAAGATTCTTCAAGACACTCTGACTATAGCTAGTCCTGCCTCGCTAGATGCTGACACCATCCTACTTGACGGAAATCTAAACGAGGTTGACTTGGAAGACTTTGCTGCATCCGTGTGGGTCGGAGGTCGTGGGGATGAGGTCATCGCGGTCAAGACATTCACAGAGAATGCTACACTAAGTAAGTTCTGTTGCCGCAAACCACCAAGAGCTTTTTAATACACTTTGAATCAGTCAAAGGTGGATGCTTAGCATGAGCAGAAACCAGATTTCTGCTTGTACAAAATAAGAACATTGTGCCCATGTGAATTGGTTGTATCTTTATTATGCAGCACAGAATTCAGTAAAACACAACCAGTTGCTAAGTCACTGCTGTGGAATTTTATAAAAATCAGGGTGGTGAGCTTGCAAGTATTTAAATTAAAAATGTTGGCCTGTCTAACTATACCAGAAAGTGCCAAATTTAATCCTCAGCAATTTGGTTTTTCATTGATTAACCAATCAAATTGAGAGCAGAACTGGAGGATTTCAGCACTGTTGGGAATAAGAGGAGGTGCCAAATGTCAAGATGTTCCATGTTAACATGATCTGCTTAGAATAATCTTTTCAGTTTTGGTTAGAAGGCTCCGACTCTGATGTGGAATGGATTTCTTTGTGATACATGTGAAGTGGTTGATGATATCCTTTCCATTAACTTTCTACCCCACAGGGTACTCTTTAACTGTTGGCGGGACTATTAATGGACTAGACGTCGGTGGCAATGCAATGGTCACCGACCAAAGCAACACAGTAACTGGCATTAAGACCTTCACTGGTAGCCCGCTGACTGTCAATGGCAGGATCAATATGACGGGTTGGATGGAAGTGGATGGCGTGGATTTATCAGAATATAAGAAGAATGCAGCTACTACCAGAGATGACCACAACATCACATTTCCTACCGGTGCTGCCGGGATTATCCTTCAAAGTAACCTGGAGTGAGTGATTGATTTCTGCAGTCTTATTGGTACTCACACTTGAGGCGATTTTTGAATCGGGTTTATAAGAACTGCTCTGTTTACGCCGCAGTTGTGTTTTTCCTACAAGTGACTGCTGAAACTATGGCTAGCTGTCAGGACAAACGTAAAAGAATAATTCAGAGTTTTCAAAATCCCACGCAGCTATCAGAACACCAGATAATGACACGCATATTTTACTAAATGAAATTATATTTACCGCTAATGGGTCATTAGGGAGACATTCCCATAAGAACGTGCACAAAATTTTTCCAACTTTCCTGTCCCATAATTCAATATTCCCTAATCTGATCTGAACCAAACTTTGTTTTCATTTTAGGCCCTAAACTATCGTCTCTCAAAATATGGAC